GGGGGAGGTGAGAGCTTTCCTCCCAGGAGCTAAATCTTTTCCTCCTAGTTTCACTCTGAAACCAAACTCAGGTCTCTGGTGCCTCACCAAGCTTCCTGTCCACCCCGATTTCCTTCTAACTTCACAGGTCCACTTTATGCCTGCTGCCCAACGACAGAGTGACTTAGTCCAGGGAAGGTCTCAAGAGCAAGTGACTTCCTCCCTCACCCTGGGGTGTGTACATAGCCCAGTGCTTACTGAGAAGTGGTCCATCTGGATGGAGTCTCTAGGGGTCAGATCTCAAAATTCTTCTTAAAACTATTCTTTGCTATTCCACAAACCCCCATCAATGATGAGGTGGAGAGAAGAGTGAGAAATAACATAATGAAATAGTAAACTGAAAAAACAAATGGACTCATGTTCTTGTGAATTGTGTTCTCCTGCCTCAGGCTTGCTTGTTATCCAGGCTATGGGAGCAGAGAGAGAGAGCCACATCACATCCCGGTTGGTACAGCATCAACAGGGGCTCCCTAATCACACAGGACACAATAAAGCACTCGTGGCAAAGACAAACAGGAGGGCCTGCCCGCAGTGCTATAAACATACCACCACTAATGTCTGAGATTATTATAACAATGCTATCCTTCATCTGTATATTTCAAAAGGTCCACCTCTCACTTTATATCACTTGGTCATAATACTTCATTACCCCATATACTTAAAAACTAGTTAGTATTACTGAGACCCTATATGTACTGTCTGTCATCTTTCAAGATACCAGGTACTATAACATTTCTAAGGTTCATTTTGAGTGCCTGGAGTGACACATTTAATACTGTTTTCAGCATATTAATAAGCATCAAAAGAGCAATTTTAAAATGATTTCCTTCACATTCAATTTACTGTCTAGAACTATAGTTCAAAACAGTGTATTTGCTTTGCTGAATTCATTCATAGAGTATCTGCAGACCTTGATTGAACGTATTTCCTGTAGTGACAACTACTCTATTTGTTGGAATTATTTAGGTCACTGGAGTGGAGAAAAAGAGGCCGCTACTTAATAGAAATGGCATGTATCCAAATATAGATACAGCTTTCTGAACACCTGTTGAACGATCAATGATGAAGAGATTGTTACTGTATGAAACCCTGGACCAAAAAAACCTTAAGTAATCAGTCACTTTGTTTCAACCCACACAGGATTTAACCCAGGAAAGCAAGTTTCCTTACCAAAGAATGAAAAGTGTAAATATGCCAGCAGCTTTACAAGTAAAACAGCCTCTTTGAAAATCTGTTTCAGTGTCAATTATTTCCCATCAAAAGTCGCTTCCCAGAAAGCTATATGATTTGAACCTTACTTAGGGCATGCACTGTAATTGTTTGCTTCTGGAGACACAGTGAGCATGACAAATATTTTCAGTTGTCAAGGGTGAGCGAGGAGGGAACGACCCACCTAAGAAATGGAAACTAACGAATAGTTAGTAATATGACACTCCCCCTTAGTTCCACTGGCTGCAGGCTGCTACACACAACTTCCTAAAGCAGGATAAAGGCGACGCTGTGCAACAGCAGAAGGAAGACGGCCTCTCTACCCCCTCCCCGAAACACTGTGGTGGGAGGTGGCATGCAAAGACCTCAAGGGAAGGGGGCATGTGCAATACCCTCTACTGTTGCCATTTATTCATTCATTCAATAAATAGTTATGCGCCAGGCACAGCTAGAGGCTTAACTCTCCAACTATGACTCAACAGCCCATTCTGATACCTCACACTTCTGTCCCCATTTCCAGCCCTAGGCCTCACTTGCTCATCAAGAATATGCTTATTATAGTCTCGCTGTCCCTCCCTTTCCCAGTTCCCCAGGCCAGGTTGGCAGGATAAAGCCAGAGAGGGCAGTGCCTTTTCAAGAGCAAAGAAGGAGGGCTCGGAGTACGCGGAGAAGGGTTCCGGGGACCCTCATGCCCGCCTAGGGAGAGCTAGCCCCTAATCGGGCGGCCGCGCCCCGGGGCAGGGCACTACGTTGGGACCGGGAACCTGAGGTCACGCCAACGCTGGAGGGGGAAGCAGCAGCGAGGGGATTCCGCAAATGGGGAAGTGGTCACTGCAGGGAGCCCGTGGGCGGAGGGAGGCTAATGACTACACGTGAGGGGGACCGCCTCCACCTAGGTGGTGGGGGACAAACAGGGGTCCAGGTAGGGGTGAGGATGGGCAGGGCGGGTTACCTGATGAAGGTGGTCTTGCCAGTGCTGTACTGGCCCACCAGCAGGATCATGGGCTTGTTCTCGAAGTCGGCGTCCTCCAGCGCCGGCGAGTGGAACTCGTGGAAGCGGTACGCCTCCTCCAGCGGCAGCACCTTGCGCAGGTAGAGCGAACGCAGGCCGCCAGTCACCGTCTGCACGGCGTCCGCGCCGCCCGCACGCTCGCGCCCGCCCGCCTGCCGCCCCATCCAGCTGAACATCCTGCCACCGGTCTGCGCCCCGAGCCCGCCCTCTCAGCGCCGGCCCCACACTCAGACCCCGCTCTGGGTTCGACCCTCGCTGGCAGCTAGCACCGAGCTGCCCCAGCTGCGCTCGCCGCCGCCCGAGCTGGCCCCGCCTCGCGCCGTTGCAGCCAATCTCCGATCGCTACGTCACGATCGCTCGTTCACTATTCAGAAGGACTCTCTCAAGTCCTTCCTCATTGGGCCGCTGCCAGCGCGGGTGGGGCGTCAGCCAATGGAGAGGCGGTTCTTAATGAATTATTGATGACGGAGTCGGTCGGTAGGACGGGCGGGGGGAGCGGTGTCTCTCCAGCCGGGTGACGCAGGCCGGTCATCCGTGGGGCCTTTTTAGTCCCCAGGGCCCCACCTCTGACCAGGTGGCGTCGCCTTCCGGGCAAATCTGAGCTGGCAAAAACAAAAGAAAACAAAAAACCACACACACCCACACACCCCACACTCCCCCCCACACACCCCCGGAGCTTCCGGAGGCTCTCTTGGAATGTTCACTCATCCCAGCCCTCAACGTCGAAACTGGAGACAAAAGTTCAGAGAGTTGACGGGCAGGTTCTTTCTACCTGCTAGCAGGTTATTACCCTCATTTTATTGGTGACAAGACCTTGACTCACGGACATAATTGACAAAATGTGAAGTGAGGGGAAGTAGACTCCAATCTACTTGGGTACATATTTCTTTTCTCCACGCTGCCTCCACTAAATTCTGGTTGAACTGAAGACATTTTCTGATAGTTTTATTTGATTTTCTGTAAAATTGAAGACTTAAGTAATCATCCTCATTGATTACAACCTAATTGCCAAATATTGTTAAACATGTAAATCCCAAACTTGTAAAAGGGTTACTGTTACCTCCCAGCTGTCTCTTTTTCAGATTAAAAAATACTTGCCTAACCTAAGATTGGGAGAAATACTCAGCCATCACTTTTGGTGTCCTAGGTTACAGTTTTTAAATATTTCTCTATTGTTTAGAGGATTTCTCAAGTGTGATCAATGGGCCCGCCTGCATAAGAATAATCTGGGATGCTTGTTAAAATGCAGATTTCTGGTCATCACCCCGATCTACTGAGTTAGAATATTGAGGAGGGATGGAACTAAACAAGTACCCCAGGTGATTCTGATATACCCTAAATTTGGGGAAATATAATGCACAACAGTTTTTCTAAAACTTGATGGAAATGCAGATTCTGATTCAGTGGGTAC